TCCTCCCCCTCCTCCTCCTCCTCCTCCTCCTTCTTCTTCTCCTCCTCATCATCATCATCATCTTCCACGGCCTGCGTTTCCGCCCACTTCGTCGCCGACGTCGTGGTCCTCTTCAGGGTCGGCGGCACCGGCCGTCGGGCCTTCGCAATCAAAAATTCTACCCCCGCGCGCTTTCCGAATCCTTCAAAAACCAATGGCTTTTCAACATTCCTGTCATGCGAGCAACTTATGCGCGTGCGTCGAACGCCAACAGCATCGGTCGTGCGCCTCAATGCCTCGTAAAAAATACCATGCGGGGCACATGCGCGCGGCCGCCGCGCGCGCATGTCGAAATCCTTCCAAACACACTGTGTTTACAAGCATACCAAGACCGAGCTTCATGACATCACAGGAATCGTACCACACCTCCTCGGACAAAAAATCTGCAACAAAAAATCAAAACGTCTACCCGCGCGCGCTTTCCGAACCCTAAAAAACCAATGATGTTTCAATACTTCGGTCATGCGGACAACTTTTGCGCGAGCGTCGAACTCCTTTAACATCGGTCGCACGCTTGCCAGGGCCACAATCCCTTGTAAAAAAACACCATGCGGGACACATGCGCGCGGCCGCCGCGCGCGGATGCCGAAATCCTTCTCGTCGTCGTCGTCGTCGTCGTCGTCGTCGTCGGCGCCGTCGTCATCGTCGTCTTCGGCGCAGTCGTCATCGTTGGCGTCGTCGTCGCCGTCGTCATCGTCGTTCCCGTCGTCGTCCTAGAGCTCTTGCGACCAAGTTTCGGGTGGGAGTGTGGGATGTTTGCACGAGCAGTGGAGAGGACAGCTTCAAGACAGTCAACGTGAATCGCACCACATAGATGGCACCACGTAGCTTACACCACATAGCTCACACCACATCGATGAGCACGCCAGCCCCTGCCACACAGATTGCACCACGTACCTCGCACCGCATAGATTGCACCACATAGCATGCACCACATAGCTCACACCACATGGCTTGCATCACGCAGATTGCAGCACATAGCTTGCATTACGTAGACTGCACCACATAGCTTCCGCCACATAGCTTCCACCACATCGATTGCATCACCCGGCATGCTAGAACACACTGTGTGGGATCCACGCTGGCTAGCATAATGCCTGGCCCTTCGGGTTGGCATATCCCCGCCTACGAGGCTGGGCTGGTGGGGATAGGTTAGACACTGCTGGCCCACCCACCGCCCCCGCCTGCGAACCCCAGCAGCCAGCCCACGAGGGCGTTGAGCACGCCGCCGAGCACCAGCACCTGGCGGAGCGGGGAGGGCGGGTCGACGTCGGCTCTCCGCGACGAGCCAGGCCACCAGCGCCCTCAAGGGAGGTGGGGACGGTCAACACGCGCGAGACACGAACCCGGAAGGGATTGTAGATCAGCCAAGCCTGCGTGCTGCCTCCTGGCGATCGTCGTCGCCGTCGTCGTCGCCCTGCTCCTCCTCCTCCTCCTCATCATCATCATCATCTTCCTTCTCCTCCTCCTCCTCCTCCTCCTCCTCCTCCTCCTCCTCCTCCTCCTCCTCCTCCTCCTCCTCCTCACCTCATCCTCCTCTTTTCTCTCTTCCTCCTCCTCCTCCTTCTCCTCCTTCTCATCCTCCTTCGCACATCCCTGCGAGACAAGATGTCCGTGGTGTTATACACTTCGTACAGTTCTAATGCAGTCAACCTCAATATCCTCCTTTTCCTCCTACTCCTCCTCATCGCCTCTCACACCGACGCGGCCTCGAGATCACCTCATTGTCGCCAATCGGCAAGCTCTGTGCTTTTGGCACAAACAACATGTTTGTCTTCACCTGGGACATGAGAAGACAAACGAAGGGACGCGCCACAGAACTTGCCAGGTGCGCGTCAGAGAACGTGCCAAGGGACGTGGCGCGCGACGTGCCAGGGGACCTGCCAGTGGTAGCTGCGCCACAGGACGTGCCGCAGGACGTGCGACGGCACATGCCACGGGACGTGCCACGGGACGAGCCAGGGGACGCGCCAGGGCTTGCGCCAGGGGACGTTCATGTCGGGGCAAGGGTTTGTGTGATGATGCTGAAATGGGGCCTGCCCATGAGCTCAGTGCGTGCCAGGGGATGCGACAAGAGACGTGCCAGGGGACGCGCCACAGGACGAGCCAGGGGACGTCTTGGGCCCTCCTGGTGCGTCGTGGGGCCTCCTGAGGACTTCCGCACCCCATGATTGCTCGAGGATTGTATGTGGTGGACGCGCCATCTCAAGCAGGCGCGCACGAGATCCACGTTCCACGTTGTCGTTAAAATTGGCATGCCTCTGGGTCCCGTCTCGTTCCGAAGATATAAGCAAAGCCTCCAGACCGTAATTCGTATGTGGGATAGCGGGGGTCTCCAGACCACGTTTTTGCCGAGGATTCTACTTTTCAGTCAGCGTCCGCGGGCGAGCGCGCCGGCGGCGAGTCAGGTCAAAGCGAGCTACGCAGAGACTAATTAAGCAGAGGCAGCGCGAACAGGCTACAACTAACGCGGCAAGCCGAGGCCTCACGCGGCGGCCCAGCGGTGGGCGGGTGGCAGGAGAGACTGAAACTGAGTCGAACTGCCAGCGCGCAAGTATGCAGGGCGTCGGAAGCACCAGGAAGTCGGGATGTAAACGACGACCAGGGACAACTTCGAGAATTAAGGCATGAGACCGAACCTCGAGCAGCTGCGTGGGCACCAGGGTGGCCGCGGCCAAAGAACCGCCGATCGAGGTGGAAAGGAGAAATGCAGTGGCGAGGCCCCGGACGTCGGGAGCCGAGGATTCTACGCGAAGATATGCGGAAACCCATATCTATCATCGATAACAGGGGGTCTCCAGACCCCGTTATCTCCAGAAACCACGTTTCTGACTCGGGTACTGTTTCCAACACACGCACACACACACACACACACACACAAACACGCACACACACACACACACACACACATACACACACACACACAAACAAACACACACACACACACAAACACACACACACACACACACACACGCGCGCACACACGCACACACACACACACACACACACTCTCACACACACACACACACACAACTGACTAAACTCAAAACCTCAAAATAAAAACAACGTAGACTGGCGAAGAACCCACTCCCCGTTCAAACACGAGGTGACTACAAGCAGGACCGCTCAATGCACGATGATACGTGGAGGGAGCGGTCGCAAGCCCGAAAGATTCGCGAGGGACCTGATATGGTGCCCCGAAGCGTGTGAGGGGTGCCTAAGAATCGATCGGGAGGCGACATGCGAACGCTGCCACTGGGGCCTTTTGTTGAGCTCCCTGGTGGCCACGCAACGTGTGAGGGGTGGGGTGTGCCGAAATCGTCGGGGGGTGGGACGGTATGCGAACGCTGCCACTGGGGCATTCGGTGGAGCTCACTGGGGGCCACGAAACGTGTGAGGGGTGTGCCGAAATGGTCGGGGTGCGGTATGCGAACGTTGCCACTGTGGCCTTCGGTGGAGCTCCCTGGTAAGGCCACGGAACCTGTGAGAGGTGTGCCGAAATTGCCGGGGGTGCTGTATGCGAACGCTGCCACTGGGGCCTTTGGTGGAGCTCACGGGGGGGCACGACACGTGTGAGGGGTGTGCCGAAACAGTCGGGGGCGGTGTGCGAACGTTGCCACTGTGGCCTTCGGTGGAGCTCCCTGGGGGGGCCACGAAACCTGTGAGAGGTGTGCCGAAATGGTCGGGGGTGCTGTATGCGAACGCTGCCACTGGGGCCTTCGGTGGAGCACCCTGGGGGTCACAGAACCTGTGAAAGGTGTGCCGAAATTGTCGGGGCTGTATGCGAACGCTCCCACTGTGGCCTTCGGTGGAGCTCCCTGGGATCCACGAAACGTGTGAGGATGTGCCGAAATGGTCGGGGTGCGGTATGCGAACGCTGCCGCTGGGGAATTCGGTGGAGCTCCCTGGGGGTCACAGAACCTGTGAGAGGTGTGCCGAAATGGTCGGGGCTGTATGCGAACGCTCCCACTGTGGCCTTCGGTGGAGCTCCCTGGGATCCACGAAACGTGTGAGGATGTGCCGAAATGGTCGGGGTGCGGTATGCGAACGCTGCCACTGGGGACTTCGGTGGAGCTCCCTAGGTGCCACGAAACGTGTGATGGGTGTGCCGACATGGTCGGGGGCGGTATACGAACGCTGTCACTGTGGCCTTCGGTGGAGCTCCCCGGGGGGGGGGCACGAAACGCGTAAGGGCTGTGCCGAAATGGTAGGGGGCGGTATGCGAACGCTGCCGCTGGGGCCTTCGGTGGAGCTCCCTAGTGGCCACGAAACGTGTGAGAGGTGTTTCGAAATGGTAGGGGTGCGAAAATAGCCAGACCACCATGTGACACGGCATCTCGGAGGTCAGCGTTGCGAGAATGCCTCAAGCCAACGTGGCGTCACCATATAGGGCACGGCATCTCCGAGGCCAGAGCCTGATTGCCGCGGGAAACTTTGGAACCCCCCCCCGGGCCCCGAAGGTCACGAAGCGCTGAAGACCCTTGTAGTGGGGAGCCCTGAAAATTCGGAGAATGCATGTGCGTGCATGTGCATCGGCATGTCGGAGCATGTGAGGGCGCGGGATTCAGCGCATGTGCGTGCATGGGCGGGCCCGCGCTGTCGCCCGCAGGGGGGGAACACAGGCGAGTGCGTGTATGTGCCACTGGCCGATCTGCGAGTTCCGCACATGCTCCGCATGCGCGGGCATGTGCATGCATCTGCATCGGCATGTGCGAGCATGTGCGGGCGCGGGATTCAGCGCATGTGCGTGTATGTGCCATTGACCGATCTGCGATGTTCGCACAAGTTCCACATGTGCGGGCATGCGCGGGCATGTGCGTCGGCATGCGCGGGCATGTGCGTTACAATACATGCAGCAAAACCCAGTGCACACAACCCCGCACATGCCCGGGCACGTGCGCACAGTAGGACATCCATCCAAAAGCGCCCGCACATGCCGGGCACATGCCTGGCACATGCTGCGCACATGCACGCACATGCCCGCGAAAAAAAGGCCGCATATACACCCAAAGTGAGAGCAGTGTATGCAAACGCTGCGGCTGTGGCATTCGGTGGAGCTCCCTATGGGGCCACGAAGCGTGAGGGGTGTGACGAAACCGTGATGATACTGAGACTGGTGGTAGTGGTGACGTGAAGAAGGAAGAGAGGATGAGGAGGAGGGGAAAGAGGAGGAGGAGGAGGAGAGGAGGAGGAGGAGGAGGCGGAGGAGGAGAGACGCGCGGCGCTGCGGATTCAAAACGAGGCCCCATCTCCACAAGAAGGTTGGGAACAAACATTAACAACCAGAAATGGAAACGTGTTCCAGAAATGGGTTGGAGATGTCCTGGGACCCCGCGTTGAAGAAAAACGTCCTGGGGGGTCTGGGGAAACAGCGTCGGCTCTAGGCGACGAGGCGAGCAGAAGCGACAAACTGTCGAGGATCGATGGACACCTGCAGGACCCTCGGGGTTCCTCCAGATCAGGTTGACCACCTTCTGAGAATCCAGCGAACTTTTCAGAACCTTGATAATGAAGCAACCTTCCCAAAAAAACATGCACCGCCCAGTGCCCACACCTCCTGAGGGGTGGAGCTGGACTGGAAACCTGCACCCATTTGCTTTGTGTCTGGGAGCAGCCAAGTCGACGAGACGTCGCCTCGCAACGATTAACCCAACGAAGGACCTTAACCCTCTGTAGCTGTGTGGCACTATGCGAGCGTCCCCACTTGGCCCGTACTTGGGCCTGGCTACGGGGCACGAATCGTGTGAGAGGTGTACCGAAATAGACGCGGCGAACGTCTTGGCCTTCGGGGCATGAGAGGTGTAAGCGGTGTACCGAGATGGGCGCGCCGACGCTTCACGAGCGCCCCGCGCTTGGCCCGAAGCTCGACCCTGATTACGAAACACGAAGGGTGTGAGCGGTGCACCGACATGGGCGCGCCGACGCGATGCAAGCGACCCCACCGTGGCCTGCGCTCGGGTTCCCCCTGCGGGACGCGAAGCTTTGCGAGGGAAGTGCCGACATGGACGCGGCAACGCCAAGGATTGGCGGCGCGCACAAGGAGCTAGAGGGAGATTTGATGTTTTGATTTGCGCGCGGGTGGTCGTCTGCCGAACACTCCTGCCCGCGGCGCCGAAACGACGAGCGAGGGGCCCGAAGGGAGGGCCGAAAGAAGCGAGGGACGGACCAGGACCCAGACAGAGCCGAGCGAGGGACCGAACCGAAAACAGGGACAACGAAAAATCGAAGGCCCGAGACAAGCGATGCTGGCAAGACCTGGCAATTAAATTTGGAGCCCCTGTCCTGACTCTTGGGCGTTCAGCCTCAACCTCTGGCCAGGCAGCAGCATACAACAAACATGACGCAGCACGGCGGCGGAGAGCCCTTTATCTCTTCGCGAGCCTGGGCTGGGGGAAGCAAAAAACAGCACAAGAGAGGATGAGTGGGCGCAGGCGGAACGGGCGCCTGCTTCCCAGCGCCTCTGTACCCACTCATCCTAAGGCCTAATCGACGAGCCCTGACGTGTCGGCACAGTGACATTTCGACTGGCAGAGAGATGGCATCAGCTAGAGAGGCATGCCATGATGTCGCCCCACGCGGCAGGCGGAGCAAGAGTCTTTCTCTTTGCTTCTCATTGCGAGCCTGGGCGGGGGAAATGCGAAAAACAGCACAAGAAGAGGATGAGTGGGCGCAGGCGGAACGGGTGCCTGCTTCACAGCGCCTCTGTACCCACTCATCCTCAGGTCTAATCGACGAGCCCTGACGTGTCGGCACAGGGACAGTTCGACTGGCAGAGAGATTCGTGGCATCAGCTAGAGAGGCATGCACTGATGTCACCCCGCGCGGCAGGCGGGGCAAGAGTCTTTCTCTTTGCGAGCCTGGGCGGGGGGAGGCGCGACAACAACACACAAGGGGATGAGTGGGCGCAGGCGGAACGGGTGCCTGCTTCTCAGCGCCTCTGTACCCACTTATCCCCAAGCCTAGCCGACTACATACGTGTCGGCGCATGACATTGGCACAACATAGACGTGTCGGCACACCTGGTGTTACAACCTACACTTCTGGCGGGTTGGTGTCGGGAACCAAGATGGGCCAACATACAGAATAACGTAGGAGTCGTTCCGCCCCCCACATTCCACCTACGTTAACCCCAAGATACCTACGCGGGCTCGAGAAGCCATGCAGGATCAAACAGAGCCTGAAAATTAAAGATATCATGAGGGTCAGGAAAGGCATATAGAACGTTGACATTGTCAACGGCAGTGACATCGCCGACTGGTTGATCAGTGCGGGGGTCACGTCCATCACACATGCGGCGGAGCCGCGAAATGGTTTCAGGGGCACGCGGAGGGCCAGTGCAGGATTTCGTTAAATCAGCCACCTTCTTACACGAGTAGCGGCCACAGCGGCGACAAAGTATGATATTATTTAACCGCCTGAGTACGTGCCCACCGCCAGTGGGAGAGGAGCACTGAGATCGCAATAAGTAGCTCTTGGAAACCGAGCTAGCCCAACAATTTACACAGCGGAAACGGCCCACCGAAGGGTCCCAGAAATGCTCATGCAAGGCCCCTGAGGAGGCACCAGAGAGGACTAGGGGCGGGACCGAGGGGGCATAAATCTCATCAGAATCCGCCGCCCAAACCTTTTTGGGCACATTCGTAAAGATCCACGCTATACAATGACCGATATAAACACCAAGATTGCGCACAAGCAATCCAGAGCGCTGGACTCGGTCGTGTAGGACCGTGTCCTGAGAATGTAGGTCCGCACCTAGGTTAGCAAGTCTGTCGGCCTGCTTATTACCAACAGAGGTGGAGTGGCCACGGACCTTGGTGACCTTAATTAGGTGATACCTGATATCTGAGGCCGCACGGTGAACCCTGACCCACAAGGATGCATGGGTGGCCCAGCCGTGCGTGGTAGCTTCAAACCCCATTGCCCAGCCGTCAACGACATACTGGGCATCCGTGACGTACTCATAGCAGTCGGAGGGGGCAGCATGGGTTAGATAAAATAAAAACGCATAGAGCTCAGACCCTGCAACATCCTGGGTGAGAAAAGGATACACGCCGTAAGCTCCAGCATTGAGACGAAGCCGATCATTGGCGAGGGGCTCACCAAAGACGTTTCGGCTACGCGGGGCAAAAGAGCAGACACCCCATCCACAGCGGAGAGTGAGCGGCGAGGGACCATGAGCTAGAGGGAGGGGGAAGGCTTCTCAGGAAGGAGGCTGTTTGCTAGAAGGCGCGGGCCTCACTTCTATAGATAAGGCCCGCATTCCCCCCCTCCCCCTACCCCCCTCTGGGCGAGGCCGCAACGATGCGAATTCCCCCAAAAATCTGCCCGCAGCGCGGGCCCCCACTACGGGGCACAGGACGCACGAGGAGTGCGCCGACCTGCCGGCACGGCAGCGGCAGGAGGCGGAGAGGATGGGTGTGCGGGCGCGCATGGCTGCGGAGAGCGAACGCGACGGCGCAACTCCACGGGAGGTTGGTTGACCCGAACGGGGGTCCAGCTGAAAAGGGGGTGGTGAAATAGATTTGACGCAAACGTATTGCGAATGTACTGCGCAGGAGAATTGTAACGCATTGTGTTGAATCTCATGCATTGCACGCGAAAAGCAAGCGGTGCCTTTGCGCACCAGATTGGATTGCACGCCCCCAATCTGTTGCAACCACAGAAATCTATTGCACCAAATCTATTGCACAACCCCTTTTCGCTGGACCCCTTCTTGGATCAACCAAAAATAATTAGGGTTGGGCCAGGAGCCCGGCAAGGCACCCGCACCGCAGGGAGAGTGGCGGGAGAGAGCGGGAAGAGCTCCTCACCTGGGAATGCTGCGGAGCTTCTCCTCTGGGACACGGGGCGCTTTCTCGATCCCTGTCCACAGGGGAGCAAGCCCTCTCTTGGCGGCGCGCACAAGGGGGTGGAGGGAGGGGGAGGGCTTCTTAGAAGGAGGCTGCTTCTTAGAAGGCGCCATTCTTACATCTGTAGGTAAGGCCCGCGCCTTCTAAGAAGCAGGGGTGCTTCTAAGAAGCCCTCCCCCCTCCCCCCACCCCCCTCTGCGCGTGGCTGACTCTCCCCGGAGAACAGGCCTCTCGCGTGGGAGGGCAGGGGGGGGGCAGGGAGCGGGAGGGGGGCAGGGGCCATCCTCGAGGGGGCACGACGGGCATGGCACTTCCCTGACGGCGCGGCGGAGGGGGAGGGAGGCGGGAGCGGCCTCCGGAAGGCCACGGACCCGGCAAGACCAGCCGCGCCCGGATCCTCTCGCAGCACCCAAGAGGGAGGAGGAGGAGGAGGAGGAGGAGGAGGAAGAGGAGGAGGGGTGGGAGGAGGAGGAGGAGGAGAAGGAGGAGGAGGAGGAGGAGGAGGAGAAGGAGCAGGATTGAGAGGATTGGGAGGATTGGGAGGAGGAGGAGGAATACGAGAAGGTGGAAACGGATGTGGATCGGATTTATGATGAGGTGGTCTGCGGTACGAGCGGCAGTTTCAATACGGGAGTGACGGCAACGACGCTCATATACCGCACCATGGGCTCGGATTCTCTTCGGCACCACTCAATCGTGACATCGTGCACAGTTGTTGTCGGCCCTCGGAGCCGGAAAACTGCGCACCGCACCTCACTTGGGTCGAGGATCGACATCGCGTCAAGAGACACCAACTCGAGACCTCCTAGATAGGGTCGGAGTAGATGGATCAGAGGATCAGGCCGCATCGCCGATGCAGCGGCGATGCAATGGCGATGCACTGACGACATCGGCGATGCATCGGCGCCGCTGGCGTGGAGAAAATCGGGCTCCAGATCGAGCCGCATCGCCGATGCACCGGCGACGCAGCGCGATCCTCCGACCCCGCCCACCCGGACCCCATTCAGGAGGCCCGGGGCCTACAACCCTCGTCAAAAGTAACCTCAAAAATGTCTGACGTGGTTAAGGTTAATTTTGACGAGGGTAGTAGACCGACAGCGTCTGGTGCACACAAGCCGCTCGAGGATCCAGGGAGCCATCCGCGGGGCCCGCTGCGGCCACACGAGGGCACGAAGCGGCCCTGGGGCAGAGTGGGCCCGTGGTGTGCGCGGCGTGCCGACGGCGGCACGCGGAGGCGACCGAGGAGAGCGCGGCACGCGTGCTCGGGCCTGGGCCCCCCCCCCCCCTCGATCCCCGCGAGCTGCGCACCAGAGGCCACGCACCAGGGGGAGGGGCGGGCCGCGCCCACGGAGAGAGCCCACACGGACCTCGCGGCGACACCTGGCCATCGCTCGGACGTCCATTCCCTGTGTTTTCGTGCGTGTTTTTTTTTTCGCCAGACGATCAAGGATGCTCCTCGGTGGTCCTCGCCGAAGGAAAAATCCACACGTCCGAGCGATGCCAAGACACTGGGAAGCCCCGACGACCTCACCGCACGGGCCGCGGCCCCTCGTAGCCCCCCCCCCCTCCCCGCCAGGAGCGCGGCGCTCCTCGGCCCGGCGCGCCTGCCCCGCAGCGCGCCGGGGCCCCTCGGGGGGCCGCGGGGAGGGGGTGGAGGCCGGGAGCCCTCGGCCCCGCAGGTACTAGGGGGGGGGGGGGGGGGCGGTGCCAGGGCCCCAGCGGCCCCGCCGCGCGATCTCGGCACCCCGGAAGCCCCCGTCGCGCGAGGCATCCTCGGAGAGCGGCACCCGAGCCCCAGACTCCCCAAGCCCGTGCGGCCACCCCGCATCCCGGGCACGTCCAAGAGGGTAGAGGGGAGGAGGGGGGTCGGCAAGTCCTGGCCCGCGGCACGTGCGCGGAGGAGGGGGGGCCAGTGAACGCGTTGGAAGACGAAGAGAGGGCCACGAAATGTGGGAGATCTGATTGCCCTGGCCATGATGTGCACACAGCCCCAGTCCTCACCACCCTCCTGCACCCTGAGATCGGACCCCCTCTTCCTGCGCCAGTCCTCGCGTCGGATCGATCTGTGAGGGTCCCCGGGGCCCGAAACTGGAGCGAGAGCGCGCGCGGGAAAGTAAAAACACAAACGAACGCAACTCCAGGATCTCAGGGGACGGCCCCGAGCGTAGCCCGTAGCCGACGCCTGCTCGGCCCCGCTGGCACGGCGGCGCCCACCACTGGGCGGGGGGGGGGCCGCGCGGCGCACCGGGTCCGCGGCCGTGCAGGCGTCCGCCGCAGAGGCCAGGGCGGCTCTGCACCCTGCGCGGGCCCGCGGGGCGCGAGGGGCAAGACGCGGCGCGCTCGGAGGCTCCTCCGAGGGCCTTCGGGAGGCATTCGAAGGCTTCGGGGGCCCTTCGCGGGCCCTTCGCAGAGTTAGGTCGGGCAGGTCCTCCTCAGGCGTATTTTGGAAAAAGAACTTTGAATGGTGGGAAGATGGTCGAACATGTTCACAAGAGCACCAAGAATGGCCCCCAGACTATTTCTGACTATTCTTGAGTATTCCTCCTGTAAAGGTTGGCGGCGCGCACATTGGGCTGGAGGGAGGGGGGAGGGCTTCCTAGAAGGAGGCTGCTTCTTGGAGGCGCCGGCCTTACATCCATAGATGAGGCCCGCGCCTTCTGAGGAAGGCGGGGGTGCTTCTAAGAAGCCCCCCCCCTCCCCCCCACCCCCCCCTCTGCGCGTGGCTGAAGAGGGACATGCCCGACTGAAGGCAAGGCGGCGCGCTCGGAGGCTCCTCCGAGAGCCTTCGGTCCGCGAGGTGGCCGTTGGACACCGCACCCTCCACGCCGCGGGCGGAGGCCACCACCCGCGGGGGGGGGCCACGCTCGGCATGCAGAGGCCACGCCCCGGGGAGGGGAACTCTGCGCGCCAGGCCTACGACCAGGCCCCTCGCTCGCCCCCCCCCCCCAACCCGGGGCCGCTCTGGGTCCAGCATGCGCGACATCGTCGGGCGGGCTCGGGAGGCCTGCGAAGGCCTCGGGGGCCCTCGTCGCCACCGCCGGATTCGCCTCGAGATCCTGGGCCGAACGCACCGGAGGAGGAGGAGGAGGAGGAGGAGGAGGAGGAGGAGGAGGAGGAGGAGGAGGAGGAGGAGGAGGAGGCGGCGTGGGCACCTTCGGGCTCCCCCGCGCCCGGCCGCCTCGCGAACGGCTCGCTCTCGGGGGCTCACGCAGCGGGTCGAGCGGCCCTCCGCAGAGGGCCCCTTCGGAGGCTCCAAGAAGGCCCCCGGGGCCGCGGGAGCCCGTGCCGGGGCCCCCCCGGGGGCCCCATCTGGAGACCTCGCGAGAGGCCTCCGAGGATCTCCCGAGACCGCGCGCTCCCGGACCCCCCCGTGGCGTCGGGGAGGGCCGGCCCCCGGGAAGGGGCCGAGGAGGCGCACGACGTCGAGGCACGGGTTCGGAGGTGGTCCTGGCCCAGGGTGCCTCCAGCTGTCCGTGGCATCGTGGCGCCGTCGGGGCCGCCTGGGCCTCGCGAGGAGTGCCCTGGAGGCCCAGGAGGGCCCTGGGGACTTCAGAACGACGCGACAAGCTGGAGTCACCATGGGCGAGGATCACCTCTGGCAACGCCCGACACGTGGAGGGGTCGACCCCGATGGCCTTCCAGAAGGTTATGTTGTGGGCTGGTGCGGCAGAAAACGTTTGCCTTCGGCGAGAGAGAGAGAGAGAGAGAAGACGGCACTGGCGCTGCGCGCCAAGCACCTTGGTCCTTCAAGTTTGGCATGAAGGCGTACTGCGGCAGAGGTGAATAAGCAAACTAGCGGTAACTTATCATTGTCATCTTGGCCATCGTCGTTCTGACAATGGTGTTCCCTGTCTCTCCCTCAGCGGAGGTTGGGGGGTGAGATCGCAGTGGAACGGAGAGCCCCCCACCGGCATATCGGTTTCGTCTGCGTGTTCGTGTCGTGCGTGCGGGCGAGGCGAAGCTGCGTGGGCGCGCGAGGTGGACCGCCCTTCCGCCCCCGGTTGGCGCGCGGTGGCCCGGGGTGTCCCGCCGTGGTGTCCTGTTGTGTCCCGCTGATGTCCAGCCGGTGTTCGGTCGGCGGTGGGCGGGCGCTGGCAGGGGGTGTCCCACCTTGGTATCGATAGTGAAGTCGATAGTGAGATCAATGATGAGATCACTAGAATGGGATGGATAGTGGGATTCAAAGTGAGAGCGACAGTGAGGTTGATTGTGACATTGGTTGTGAGATCGATGGTGAGCTCGATGGTGAGATCGATAGTGGGATCGATGGTGAAATCGCTAGTGGGATCGATAGTGGGATCGATCGCTGAATCCAGTGGTACTAAGACTGGCCGCGAGGTCGATCGTGGGATCGATCGAGTGAGATCGAAAGCGGGGACGATAGTGACATTACGTCGCAACGCAACATCATCATCATCATCACGCCTCGTCGCTAACTCGAGGGCGCCTCACCGGCATCGTCATCATCACACCCATCGCATTTGCCAGCAGTTTGTTCTTTCCCCCCGCACCCCCCAACCTCCTCATCACCCGAAGGGTGGTCGTGTAGGTGTTTCCTCATCTTCCTCGCTCTCGCCCTATCCTTCAAGCACTTCCCCGCCCTCCTCAGCTCTTTTCGCGTTGGCTCCTCCCGGGAGAGCCTCTTGAGGATACCACGAAAGATCTTTAAAGGACCTCTGGAAGCCTCGTGCAGGCAGCCACATGTAAACCCTACCCCTGTAGGTCAATTTTCCGAAACGTCGGCTGGGGTCCAGAGTTCGAAGGGATGTCTGCCGCCAGGTGAGCCCCAGTGGGGGTGTCCGACACCCCAGCATCGATTGGATCGTAGGGGCAGGGTTCGCAGGTGGCCGCAGATCTTGGATGGACGCAGAGAGACATACGAATACGATGTGTCATCCTTGGAGGATCGCGTCCGACCCGAACATTTAGTATACCCATCTTGTAGGATATCGTTTCCCGAGCGGTGTAGCCAGAAAGCGCCCGCCACGACGCATATACTATAAGAGTTCTCGGTGCGCGCGTCGCCCCTGGGGGGGGCGACACACATATAGTATAAATATGTTGGGGTGACGCCGATTGGACGCCTTCTGGGCGCCTCTGGGGGCTTCCTCGAGCCACCTTGCTGCGAACCACGGTCTCAACGACCGGGTCAAGATTTGGAGTGGCTCGGGGGTCGTCCTAGGGCCATCCTGGGCCGTCATGGGACTCTCTCTGGGCCATCTCGGGGCGCTGTTGAGCCGTCTTGGTGCTCCCTGGGACTGTCTGGAGGCCTGAGCGGACATTCTGGAACGACGCTCGGGGCCTCTCCTCAGCGGTCTCGGACGCCTGGAAGACCGAAGAGCAGAGTATTCAAAAATCATCGCATCGTGCTTGTTTTCGTTGCGATGTGTTTGCGTTGCGGGGACCTCCTTTGTTTGTTTGCTTGCGCTGCAAGAAACCATGTTTATTTGCGTTGCGAGGGATTCCTGGGGAGGCTCTCTGGGCCGTCTTCGGCCGTCTGGCGGGTGTCCGGGACTGCGTGGGATTGCGCGATGCCGCTGTTTGGCCGCCCAGCGAGGGCGTCCAGGGAATGAGGCCGGGAAGGCCTGGGGAGCCTTCTGCAAGGGCATCCGAAGGCGTCCTGGGGCCGAGGATACGGAAGATCTACTGTAGTTTTTTGGGGGAGAGGGACACCTTCTTCGCAGGGCTTCGGAGCGAGAACCATTACCTGGCGACGCACCCTATCCTTGGCGCATCAAGTGGTCAGTGCAGTTGGAAAGAATGGTTGGGAATGATGGCACGGTAAGAGCTGCCCTGTTTTTCGTGGAAGCTGCGTGGGAGGCTCGCGCGCTGCACGACTCGCAGGACCCAGGTGGAAGGACGAGGGCACGATGGAGGCTCGAGCTGGGGCCCCCCGCGGTCCTCAAACGTGGCGACAACTTCACAGATGACAGCCCCCACGGGGATGGCGAGGTCTGGTCTGAGTCCGGGTGTGGCATCACTGCGCTTGCCCCCCCCAGCAGCCCTCGGAGGATGCGGGCGTTTCGCAGATCGCAGGCCCCAGGGATGGCGAGGTCTGATCTGAATCCCTGGGAGCCCGCACCGTGCTAGCCCCCCAGAAGCCTTCCAAAATGTCGAATGTTTCGCAGATCGAGACCCCCTCTGGGATGGCGAAGCCTACTCCGAGTTTCTTGATAAGCGTGGGGGGGGGGGGGCGTCACCCCCGCCGACCACATCGACCCCCGTCGCGGGCAGCCACCGCGCGCCGAAGGCGCTCCGACCCCCGTCGCGGCGCGACGACGAGGTGAAGTTGACCCCCGTCGGGGCGGGGCCCCCTAACGCTAATTACGAAACCCAGAGTAATCTGCCTGCCCGCAGGCCCGTACCGTGCTTCCCCCCCAAGCAGCCCTCGAAAGTGGCGACTGCTTCGCAGATCCCAGGCCCGACCAGGGATGGCGAGGTCTAATCTGAATGCCCGCAGGCCCGCACTGTGCTGGACCCTCCAGCAGCTCTCGAAAGTGGCGACTGTTTTGCAGATCGCAGCCGCCCAGGGACGGTGTGGTCTAATTTGAACCCCCGCAGGCCAGCATTGTGCTGGACCCCAGCAGCCCCCAAAAGTGGCGACTGTTTCGCTGATCGCAGCCACCCAGTGATGGCGAGGTCTGATCTGGAGCTCGGTAGAGGCCCGCACGGTGCTGGACCCCAGCAGCCCCCGAAACGGCGAAACTTTCGCAGATCGCAGCCCGCCAAGGATGGCGAGGCTGAATATGAATGTTCCAGCAGCCATCGAAAGAGGCGACTGTTTCGCAGATCGCAGCCCCCCCCCAGGGACGGCGAGGTCGAATATGAACCCGCGCAGGCCCGCACTGCGCTGGGCCCTCAGCAGCCCCCGAAAGTGGCGACTGTCGCGTCGCAGATCAGTCCTCAGGGATGGCGTGGTCTAATCTGAGTACCCAGAGACCCGCACCGTGCTGGACCCTCGAGCAGCCCTCGAAAGTGGCGACTTGTTTTGCAGAGCGCAGCCGAAAAAGGACGACGACGTCGAATCTGAATCCCCCGAGGCCCGCACCGTGCTGGACCCCCAGCAGCCCCCGAAAGTGGCGGCCAGTTCGCAGATCGCAGCACCCCAAGGAGGCCGAAGTCTAACCTGAATGCCCAGAGACCCGCATCGTGTTGGCCTCTCCAGCAGCCCTCGAAAGTGGCGAGCGTGTGGCAGATCGCGGCCACACAGGGATGGTGAGGTCTACGTAATATGAATCCCCGTAAGCCCGCACTGTGCTGGACCCCCGAGCGGCCCTCGGAAGTGGCGGTTGTTTCGCAGATCGCAGTCCCCCCAGGGATGGTGAGGTCAGGTATGAGTCTCGGTAGGCCCGCACCGTGCTGGGCCCGCCAGCGGGCCTCGAAATTGCCGAACGTTTCGCAAATCGCAGCCACCCAGGGACGGCGAGGTTGAATCTGAACCTGGGTACACCCGCACCGCTGGACCCCCAGCAGCCCCCGAAAGTGACGATTGTTTCGCAGATCGCAGCCCCCCAGGGTTGGCGGTGGAAAGAGGAGAGAGCAGGAGGGAGGCGGGAGGAGAAGGAGGAAGGCTGGAGACAGCGATGCTCTATGCAAAACAAGAACAACAAATATGAAGAGGAGTATGTCCGCCACCGTGCCGAAGAGCGCCCCAGAGCGCCCCAAGAGCGTCCCAAGCGGGTACCATGAGACGATTTATCTGGCTTCGACGGGGTGGGGGGCGAAATTGACTCTGCCCTTTCAAACATATCGCTGTGCTCCAAGATGGCCCCAAGAGGCTCTAAAAAAGGGCCCGCAAAGAATGTCCCAGGAGGGCCCCGAGAGGGTCCCAAGAGAGCCCCAAACGCTCCCACGGTGGCCCTGAGAGGGCCCCAAGGTAGCCCAAGGAAGCCCCCGATATCCTTCCTGAACGGATGATACGCGAAGGACTCTACGGGTCCCTCATGCCCCTTCGCGCTCGTTGCTGACGACATGCGTGTCGCGGGCGTTAGGAGGAGGAGGAGGAGGAGGAGGAGGAGGAGGAGGAGGAGGAGGTCGAGGAGGTCGATGAGGAGGACGAGGTCGACGAGGTCGAGGAGGAGCAGGAGGCAGAGGAGGCGGAGGAGGAGGAGGAGGAGGAGGAGCCCGAGTCGGCTCGAAAAGGCGAGGAGCCAGCACCGACAGCAGCCCCGCCCTCCCCCCCACCCTGCATGAGCTGCGGAAGCCGTGCTTGGTGGCCGCCACAGGCCCGCACGCGCTACCCCGGTGCGGGCAAGATTTTGGTCCATATCCACTGCTTCTTGGAGTTTCGGGCTCCTTGCCTCCGATACCGGAGGCGCCGTGGATCTGGGTAAAACCATTTCGCCCTAGAGGTCAGATTTTTATCCATGCCCACTGCGTCTTGGAGTTTCGGGCTCCTTTCCTCCGATACCAGTGGCGCCGTGGATACGGATAAAACAATTTCGCCCCAGAGGTCAGATTTCTATCCATATCCACTGCGCCGTGGCCTGTTGGCGCCCCTTCCCCGCGCCCGGGTCTCAACTCGAGGTCTCGCGGAGGACTCGTCGAGGCCTCCATCACCCCACAGATCCCGACGAGCTCGAGTGACGCCCAGACTCTTGTGTCCCAGCCCGTCGGCCATGCGTCCCATGCTTTCTGGAGGCTGCGTGCCAGCAGCGAGCTGTGAGACCTCGCACCCCTACTGCAAATGGTATGACAGAAGGGGGGTCCGAGCCCTCACGGACGAACCCGCCCGATGGATCACCCAGTCCCTCCAAGACAGTTCCGAATCGTCCCCCCCTCGAAACCAGACCCCTCCTTGCTATGAGATCCTGAATAAGCCACAAGTGCTTGTTCATGGAAACCTTCGGCATGCGGAGCGCAGTGCACTGGGGGGCCGCCAGGGCTCCAGCGCTATCGGTGGATGCGAACCACCTGAGCCCACGCCGGGCAAACATGCGCTCCCAAGATGCCTCCCACCGACCCCCCTTCGCTCACCCATTCTTGTATCCCTCCATCTCCCTCTCCCCCTCCTCCCCCCCATCCTCCTCTTCTCCCTCCTCCTCCCTCCTCCTCTCTCCTCCTCCTTCTCCCTCCTCAGCCGCCCAGCCGCTCAGAAGTCACAGGGTGTCTGCACCACCAGGCCCAGATGCTGGGCGAGCGCGTGCGCGCGCAAGGCCCAGCTGGATATGAAGCCGGGCATCCTTCTGCCCCGTCCCATGACCCTTCCCTCGCTTCCCTCGCTCTCTCGCTGTGGCACGTTCCTCATTCTCGCTCGCTCTCTCGCTCTCTCACTTTCCTCTTCCTCCCTCGCCCCCGTCGCTACCCCCCCCCCCCGCGCTGCTTGCTGGGCCGCTGGCCCGTCGGGAAGGGCGAGAGACCACATGGAGGCCTGGACCCCCTTTCACCCCGGAGGGCCCCGAGGGTCCCAGGGTGGTCTCCAGAGGCCCCCGGGAGGGGGGCCGCGGAGGGCTCCTGGGAGCGCAGAGGCGGCCGACGAGATCCACACTCGGCCTTCCGAGATGCTGGCGGTGATGGTGATGGTGCTGGTGATGATGATGGTGATGATGATGATGATGATGCTGATGATGATGATGATGATGATGATGATGATGATGATGATGATGATGATGATGATGATGATGATGATGATGATGATGATGATGATGATGATGATGATGATGATGATGATGATGATGCAGATGCAGATGCTGATGCTGATGCTGATCGTGCTACTGATGATGATGGTGGCGGTGATGAGGATAAGGTAATAATACCAATGATTATGATGATGGTGATGATGGTGATGATAAGTGATGATGGTCATGATGGTGATGATGGTGATGATGGTGATGATGGTGATGATGGTTATGACCATGGTGATGATGATGGTGGTGGTGATCATGGTGATGGTGGAATGATGGTGATGATGGTGATGATGATGGTGATGATGGTGATGATGGTGATGATGGTGATGATGATGGTTATGACCATGGCGATGATGATGGTGATGGTGATGATGGTGGTGATGATGACGAGGGTGGTGCTGGTGATGGTGAGTGTGGTGATGGTAAGAAAGAGGAGGAGGAGGAGGAGGAGGAGGAGGAGGACAAGGAAGAGGAGAAGGAGAGAGCGAGAGGGGGCAGAGGATACAAACAAACAAGCAACAACACACACACACACACACCTGTTCCAGCGGCCAGCTGGCAGCACCACAGCGAGTACTAAGGAAGGGCACGCCTATCTCAATCAAATCACACACGCAAGCAAGCAACCAAAAGGCAGGAAAAACACAGACAGCAAAACAACGAAAACAGCAACAACAACAACAACAACAACAACAAAAAAAAAAAAAAAAAAAAAAACAACAACAACAACAACAACAACAACAACAACAACAACAACAACAACAACAACAACAACAACAACAACAACAACAGCAGCAACAACAACAGCAACAGCAACAGCAACAGCAACAGCAACAGCAGCAGCAACAACTACAACCCACGCGCGGCGGGGAAAGGCCTTCGCTCCCGCGGCACGCCCGCCTGCGGCGCGGCGGCGCCTCGCGTGCGCGCGCGAGCGGCCCGTCGACGCTGCCGTCCACGCTGGCGGCGTCGGCGGCGGCGTCGGCGGCGGCGGTGGCGTCGGCCGCGGCGGCGGCGGCGACGGCGACACGTCGGCGGCGACGGCGGCGGCGACGGCGGCGGTGACGGCGACGAGGTCGACGGCGACGGGGCCGAAATCGTCCACGTCGACGGCGACGGCGGCGGCGGCAGCGACCTGCGGGGGCTCCTCCTCCCTGCAGCCGCGACTTGAGACGAGGGAAGGATAATTCAGGGGCCTCTGGCAGACGGAGGATGTATCTATCGGGCGCCGCGGCCGTTCCAAGGAGCCCTCGAGTGCTCTGAGAGTGCTCCAGACTGCTCCTGAACGACTCGCTCGCATCCCAGGGCCAGGGCTGACGTCTCCCCGTAGGAGGAGCCCTCCCCCTCTGGACCCGGGCGCCTGGCGTCGCGAAGAGATCATTAACGGGCGTAGTCTCGCTGCTTCGCTGTCCTGGAGGGGGGCTGCCTTCGTGCACTAGGACCCGCAAACGAAAAACTACAACCAAAACAGTCCAGCCTGTCCGGTCGAAGGATCAGGGGGTTGGAAGTGAGCTCGGTGTGAACCTACATTGGCTCTTAAACTGAGGTCGGGCGTGTCCTCCTACAGGCGGATTTTACACGAACCAAAAAAACGTCCCCTGATTATTTGTTACTAATTTTGAACATTCTTCCTGTAGAGGTGCACGCCCGACTTAAACCTACATTGGCTCAAACATAAACTTTTGGCGCTCCGCGCGGATTTCTTGGATCTGCGCTGGGACTCCCCCAGGGGCGGCGCCCGAGGTGCCGCGGGGGGGGCCAGCGCGGATCCAAGAAAGCCGTCACGTTTCGGGGCCCACGCTAGCTACCTGTCAGGAACACAACCTGTCAGGAACACAACGACAATGAACAACAAATGCATGAGGACGACGTGAGCTGGAAAAAACAGACCCTTCTGTCACAGAGGGGCTCGTCATGGGTTACCAAAGAGGCCTTCCGCCACAGAGGGGCTCAAAGCTTCTCTTATTAAGGACTGTGGATTTAAACCTTCACTACTCCAGATTTCGTAATAAAAGGGAGGGGGTCTGGACCCTCCAAGACAAGCCATTTCAGACCTCCCCCGTGGGAGAACCCTCCAAAACATCGTCCCCAGACCCCCCCAGGCCCTCCAAGATAGCTTGGAAAAGACCCCCCCCGAAATGAGACCCCCCTCCCTTTATTACGAAATCTGGAGTAGTGGCTCTGCCGGTGGTGCTCCTCTGGGCCGTCCAGCTCAGAGAGAGCCTGGCGGGTGCACCGCAGGCGCTGGCCGGCAGCACCGGCCGCCCCCCCGGGAGCTGCCGGCACGGGACCCCCGCCGATGGCCCGACCCCACGGCGGCCACCAGGCCCCAAACCTCCCGCCAGACGGAGGCTCCTTCTGTCCGCAGGCCCCCTCCCCAGAGGGCCGGCTCCCTGCCTGGGCAGGTCTGCGCCAGATCGGATCGCGAAAGCGGATCGGATCGAGAGCGCATCGCATCGCCAGCGACTCGTGCCGCATCGAAAAGGCATCGAATCGCCGCGCCCCGCTTCCGGCTGGCCCTGGCCGATGCTGGTGAACAGAGCCAATAGGGCCGGATCGCATCGAATTGGGGATGCAGCGGGCTTCTCGGGCCCCGCGGTGTGCCCACGGGGGGGGAGCGGGGGGGGGGGGGGGAGGCGGGGGGGCAAAACGCCACGCCAAGGTTGCCGGAGGCGACGATAGGGGAACAACACGTCATGCATCCGAGGGCGCCGACAGTCCGTATCTTCGGCGCGGCTCCCCGCCAAATGCGTGCGATTTCGCCCCGACCGTCGCCTCCGAGGTTCAAAGAAACCGCGACGCGTGGGATCTGGGGGCCCCACCTAGCGCGCAACGCTCCCCCGGCCACCGCGGCGCCCGACCCTACGGCCACCCCGGCGGAGATCTTCGACGACGACGACGACGACGCCGACGACGACGACGACGACGCCGACGACGACGACGACGACGACGACGACGACGACGACGACGACGACGACGACGGGGACGACGACAAAGCGACAACGGCGACGACGACGACGACGGGGACGACGACAAAGCGACAACGACGGAAGGCATCCCAGAGGCCCCACGAGGCTTCCGCTTCCAGAGGCCTCAGGACGGACGGCGACGACGACGACGACGACGACGACGACCACGACCACGACCACGACCACGATCACGACGACGACCACCACGACGACGACGACGACGACGATGACGACGACGATGACGACGACGACGACGACGACCACCACGACGACGACGACGACGACAACGACGACGACGACGACGACGACGACGGCGACGACGACGACGACGACGGCTGCGGCGCCGCCCCGTTCTCGGCGCAGTCTTCCTCCCTGCCGCTGCCGCACCACACCTCGCGCGACTGCTCGCCGTCGCCTGGGCCAGGGGGGAGGCCCGGCCAGGATGGGCGTTGCTGTCCTGGGCCAGTCCTCTCCCTGGCCTCTTCCTGGCCCGGTCCTTGGCCAGGGAGCCCGGACGTCCATGCCCCGCGCCTTTTTGTTCGACGCCATGCGTGTCCGACTTTTTTTTTTGTTGCCCGAGGACCCAGGACGCTCCTCGAGGGTCCTCGCCGAGAAGAGAAGGCACACGTCCATGCGAGGCCAGGTCCGGGCCAGAGAGAGGCCCGGCCAGGCTCGGTGCTGGCGCAGAGCCGGCGCCGCCCGATCGCGGCCTCCCCGCGGCGGCTTCCCCCGAGAAGAGGCTCGGCGGACTGGACCTGACAGCCCCCACCCCACGGCCTGGCCCCAGGGATGGGGTCCACGGGTCCAGGGGCCCACGCGGTGCAAAAAGAGCACGACGTCGGGTGCCCAGGGTCCCTCAGCATGCTGCAGCGTAACTTTGAAGCTCCCCTCGGGTGCCACGACCCTTGCACAGAAAGCCGCGATGCGGCGTCGCACCGCATGCTGTGGAAGGAAAAGCCGCGCAGGCGCTGCTTTCGATAGAGCCGGTCGTGAACGCAGATTTCCAAAGCTGTGTAAGAGGGGCGCGCGCGCAAAAGAAGGACAAGCACGATCTGAAGCAAACGACATCCACAGCCGCCTGCATGGGTAGACGTGTGAAACTCCCCAAACGCTTCAACGACGGTGAGAGCTGGGGGGGGGGGCCAGCATCACTTCTCCTGCCCGGGGGGCGTAAGTGAGGACAAGCAGCAGCAGCAGCAGCAGCAGCAGCAGCAGCAGCGGCAGCAGCAGCAGGGGAAGGATGAGGAATGCGTCTGCACGAATGGTCTTCCTGGCTGTCAGCCGAGCGCTCAGAGCCCTGGAGTCACTGGTCTGGTGGGGGCGAGAGCGGGTTCATCATGCTCGGAATGTGCGAGGGGACCTTGACCGCGAAGACCAGCGAGCCCACGCAGGCAATCAGCACCGACATCGCGAGGGCCGAGACGATCACGTACTGGTGGTTCTGCTTGGCGCGGCGGAGCATCCCCTCCTCCATGCAGGAGGCGGTCTGCTCCGCCGAGAAGACCTGGCGCACCTCTTTGCGCCTGCTGGCGTAGCCCAGGTCGCTGAGACCGAGCTCCAGAATCCCCTGCGGCGCAGGAGTTCCGTCCAGCCAGCGGAGCAGCAGCAGGTTGAGGTCCGCAAACTTGCTGTACAGCTGCAGGCTGTCGATGCGGTGCGCGACCTCGGCGTCGCTCGCGCCGATCGAGTCGTCGATCCGCACCTCGTACGTGACCTCGACCTGCGAGAACCTCGTCGTGGGGTGCATGGCCTCGTGGACGTACGCCCGGCGCACGATCTTCTCCGCGCGGTCGGCGAGCGACGCCGCGCGCCGAGGCCAGCGCTGGCCGGCGGCCAGCAGGGACACGTCGCTGGCGCCGCCGCCGAACGCGCTGGACCGCATGCTGTGCACGCTGACCGCGGGGCGGCAGACCTCCAGGACGTCCGCCAGGGCGCCCCGCACGCCCGCGGTCAGCGCGGGCAGGACGCTCTTGTCGAGGGGCTCCGCGCCTCTGCGGAGGCGGTGCCAAGAGGTGGCCCTCTGGCCCAAAAGGCGGCCCCGCCCCCTGCGGCGGCGCCCGGGCGGCTTCCAGAAGACCCGGCACGAGGCGGGGAGGGGCCCCATGGGGCTCTCCAGAGCAGCACGAGCAGCTGGAGGTACCATGGGCCACGCGATTAGAGCTCCGACCTCGTGGCTCTGCCACAGCGTGGACCCCGGTGCAGCGGCCCCAGAGAAGCCGAAGACTTCCACAAACACTCCGTCGTGCCCACGCGCACGACGCGAAGGGGCCCTTGGGGGTCAAAAAGGAACCGATGCCACTGCTCCCTGGACCACTCGCGTTCGGACCAGGACTTCGAAGCGAATGCGGCCGTGGCGACAAGGGAAGGGCAGCGGCATCGGTAGATGTTCCTCCTCTGAGGTCTGGGCAGGGATCTCACCCCAGGGGAACACACAATGGCATCAACCAGGAGAACGAACAATGACATAAACATGAAAACTCAGAGGTCCGCGCGGGTTTCTCGGATCCCAGAAATCTGCGCGGACCTCCGAGTTCTGTATGTTTATGTCGCTGCTCGTTCCCCCATAAGCATAAGCTTCCGGAGGTCCACGCGGAGTCTCGGATCGGCGCTGGGGCCCCCTGGCGGCGCCCGAGGCGCCGCCCCTGGCGCGCTCCGCGCGCCAGGGAGGGGGATCCAGCGCCGATCCGAGAAATCCGCGCGGACCTCCGTCAGGTTATGTTTATATGTAGGTCGGGCATGTCCCCCTACAGGCGGATGTCGGGCGAAAAAAAAAATGTTCAAACAATACTGCAAAACAATCAAAAATGCTTTGAAAAACTCGTCTCCAGGCTATTGTTCGACTGTTTCTGAATTGTACTCCTGTAGAGGGACATGCCCGACTTAAGCTTATATGTCATTGTGTGGTTCCCGACACCTCTGGCATCTGCCCCCCCCCACCCCCACCCCCGCCGCGGGCTTTTCACCCAGCGCTGGGCCAGAAAAAAGCGTGCCAGACAGTCCCGACCTGCGTGAAGCCAAGCTCTCCTCCCGGGCCCCGCCGCGCCGCCCCCCCCCCCGACTCCATGCACAGCAGACTCGCCGGAGCCTGCAGAAGATCGGCCGCCTGGGCAGGGATCACCTCTGGCACCCCCCCTGACGACCTACCAGAACACCCCAGCCCAGCCCGAAGACACGCATTTGACCCGAATTTCGGGTTTGGGGGGGGTACGGGGACCACGTGTGTTTTCTCGATGCTCCCCGATCCCCCCCCCCACTGGAAATGGAGGGCACATTGCAGCCTTCGGGCTGGGTCGGGGCGGTCTGGTGGGCGGTGTCCCCCCCCAAGACGGCCTCTGCTGTACACCGAGATCACGACCCAGCTCGAGATCACCACCGCGGGGGCCTCTCGGGAGCGGCCAAGAGGGGGGTGCCCAAGAGGGGGGGGTGCAAATCATGACCGGCGGCATGTGCGCGGCCCAGCGGGGGGGCCGGGGACGCAATGAAATAAGAAGAGGCGCCATGAAATATGGGGAAATATCATAGCCCCCGCCATGATCTCCACCCTCCCCTAGTCATCACCCCCCTCCTTTTCCGCCCCCGGGCCTCCGCGGTGCCGTTGGCGGGCGCGGGGCCGCCGCCGGGCGCGCGGGCCGCGCCGGCGGCCCCGCGCGCGGAGGCGGCGCCAGCCAGGGAGGGGGCGGCGGCGGCGCGAGGGGCCTCGCGGGGGTGCTGCCGGAAATTGCCCCGGCCTGCACGGTTTCCCCCGGGGCCATAGGCGACCCAATGAGGAGGAGGAGGAGGAGGAGGAGGAGGAGGAGGAGGAGAAGGAGGAGAAGGAGGAGGTCGAGGAGGAGGAGGAGGAGGAGGAGGAGGAGGAGGAAGGCGGGTCGCCTAAGCCCTTCGGAGAAACCCTCCACCCCGGCCCAGGGCGCCCCCGGCGCGGGGCCAGATTTGGTGCAGGCACGAAGGCAAAATGCACTGAAGGAACTGTTTGCCACGAGCTGCTGCCTTCATAAAAGAGGATCCGCCTTCAGCACCCCAAAAAATGCCTTCAGTGAGCAAGCAATGCTTTCACTGAAAGGTGTTTGCCCTCAGTGAACGTCTGCCTTCCATGAGCCCATGCGGCAGGCTCGTGTCGTGCCGACTTCGGCGTTGGTTTCTGACGCCGCGGGGATCGTTCAGCCTTGAAGGATCGGCCGTTTCCGAAACGTCAGACTCTTCGACATTGACCGACTCTGGGGCGCCGGCGGCGTTCAACGCTGACAGACGGCGGCGGGGTCACCGCCGGTCGACACGACGCGAACCTGCAATGGCCACTGCGTCTTGAACGTCCTGGGAAGGAGCGCCAAAAGGACGAGGCGCAAGGCAGATAGATAAAAATCTAGCCTCTGGGAGCCAAGTTCTTATCCATAAGTATCCACTGCGGCTCGGGTGTCTGGGGAAAGAGGCCCGAAACTCTACGGTGCAGTGAACATGGATGCACATCCTGCACGCACCCAGCTCTCTCTGCGCCATGCTGGAGCCCCCATGGGGGCCCTCTGGGCCTCGGGCGGAGCGCTCTCTGGAGGCCACCATGGCCTCCCTGGGCATCCTGGGGACACCTTGGGCCGGGGACTGGAGGAAGAAAAACGGCATGTGCATAAACTTAGAGGGAGGAAAACGTCACAGATGCAGCTCTATTGGCCCTCCTCCTCCTTCTCGTGTCCCCTAGAAAAACGGAGAAGGACGGGGGAGGAGGAGGGCCAAGAGAGATGGACCGGTGCTGTTTTCCTCCTCCCAAAACTGTCGGAGCGCGCAAGGGGCGGCGCCAGGGGCGCCGCTGGGGGTGCCCAGCGCGGATCCAAGAGATCCACGCGCACCTCCGGAAATTTCAGCCTGTGCCGTTGCGTCTTCTTCGAAGCACCCGGCCTTGCTGCAGGCGGCCACGAAGAGGCCCCACAGCAGCGCGGCCGTGCACGGGAACGGGAGCCGCAGCGGGTGTCGCCACGAGCACGCGGCGGCCCTTCTGGGCTGGAGGCCTGACATATGGACGGGCAGCGCGCAGCCCCGCCGCGAAGCCTTGGACGGCTTCGGCAAGAGGAGGAAGCGAACGAAAGCGAAGAGAAGCGAACCGAACGCCAGAGTCGTGCACGCTCCTCTTGGGTGCCCGCCCTTGCCCGTTAAGAGGGCACGGCGTGGAGACCGTGGCCTCCGACATGTAATCCGCCACCGTGCCTCGAGGCACGAAGTGGAATTACCCCAAGACTCTCGTGTGTTCTCTGTTCTCTGTACTCAAGACTGGGGGATTCTAGTATTCCAGGGGCTGGGGCCCCAGATTCTCAAATTTCCTGGGCGCTCCCGCGCGCTCCTGGGCTGCCCCGGGTGACTTTTCCAGAGGCCAGGGGGCCTCAAGACGGGCTTAGAGGGGCCCAAGAAGCGCCCAAAAAGACCTCCAAGACAGCCCAGGAGCGCTCCAAGACGACCAAGATGGCCCCAAGACGTCCCAGGGGGCCTCAAAGAAACACGAAGAGCTCTCCAAGAGGACCCCCAAGAGGGCCCAAAGAAGCAAAAACCATGGAGTTCCAATATGTTGTTCTGTGTTTCACGTTATCGCCTTTTAGAGCTCCCGACGCTCCAAGACGGCCCCAGAGGCTCCCAAGACCGCCCCAACACGGCCCAAGATCTCCCTAAGAGGGTCCCAAGAAGGCCCAAAAGGGCCCCAAAACGGCCCAAGGGGCGCCCAATATCGCCCAGGAAGGCTCCAAGACGGCCCCAAGAGGGGCCCAAGAGGGGGAACACGAACCGACAATCCGAGCGTTCCGCCACAAGAGGGGAGGCCCCAAGAGGCCCCCAAGAGAGCCCAAGAGGCCCCCTGGAGGCCCCACGAGGCCCTCAAGATGTCCAAAAAGAGGCCCCAAGAGACCAAAACTGCCTCCAAGAGGCCCCCGAGAGATCTCCCACGATATCCGAACGAACACCCAGGAGGCCTCTGACCCACAACCCAGGCACGGTGGCGGGATAGGCCGAAGGCTACTGAATCCGCCGCCCCCTGCTTGCAGGGGTGCACGGCGTGCTGGATGTTTCAGGTTTTGGTTTTGATTCTTTTTCCAAAAGAACTCCCCAGTGGGCTCCGGCAGAACCCGCCGGCCACCCGGAAGGTGCTCAACGACCGGAAAAAATCCTCCAAAAAACGGCCGTTTCGCTCGGGACATCCTCAAAAAATCGCGAAGATGGCCCAAGATGGCCTCCAAGTCCGCCCGAGATGGTCCAAGACGGCCTCCAAAACGGCCCAAGAGAGTCCAAGACGGCCCAAGACGGCCCAAGAGGCCCCCCAGAGGCCTCCCAGACGGCCCAAGAGGCCTCCAAGAGGTCCTCCAGGAGAGTCCGAAGAGGCCAAAATCATTGATTTTTCCTTGGTTTTTGAAGGATTCTGGCATTTGCGCCTTTTCGGCTCTCCGACGGCTCGAGACGGCCCAAGAAGCCCCCAAGATCGCCCAAGAGGCCCCCAAGAGAGCCCCATGATGGCCCAAGTGGCCTCCAAGATGGCCCCTAGAGGGCCCCAAGAGGGCCCAAGAGGCCTCCAACACGCCCAAGATGGCCTCCCAGACGCCCAAGATGGCCTCCAAGACGGCCCTGGAGCATTCCAAGCGGGCCCCAAGTCGGCCCATAGAGGCCCCCCAAACGGCTTCCGACGGCTTCAGACGTGCCAGGAACCCACCAAGATGGCCGAAGTTGGCTCGAAGCTGGCCCGAGACGGCCCAAAAAGCCCCAAAGATCGCCCAAAGCTTGCCCAAGAGGCCTCCAAGACGGCCAAGATGACCTTCAAGATGCCCACGTGTTCCCCGAAGGCTTTCCAAACCGATTCGGGGAACACGTGGTCCGATAGCTTGGCAGGTCTGGCCTCAACGTTCGGCCACATAGGCGCTTCCAAAAAGGCAGGGGGCGGCGGTGATTCGCCGTAGGCGTCTTCGATCCGCCGCCCCCTTTTGCTTTAGCAAAGGGGTGCCTGGCGTGCCAGACTATATGGGTTTTAATTTTGGTTCTTTGTCCAAAAGAACTCTCCCAATGGGTTTCGGCCCGACCCGCCGGCCACCCGTAGATCGCCCAATTCCCAGAAAAATCCTCCTAGACAGCTCAAGATGGCCTCCAAGATGGCCACGCTGGCCCAAGATGGCCTCCACGATGGTCCAAGATGGCGTCCAAGTCCGCCCTAGATGGTCCAAGACGGCCTCCAAGATGGCCCAAGAGAGTCCAAGACGGCCCAAGACGGCCCAAGAGGCCCCCCAGAGGCCTCCCAGACGGCCCAAGAGGCCTCCAAGAGGTCCTCCAGGAGGGCCCGAAGATGCCAAAATCATTGATTTTCCTTAGGTTTTTGAAGGATGTTCGCATTCGCTTCTTCTCGGCTTTCCGACGATCCAGACGGCCATGGAGCACCCCAAGAGGGCCCAAAGTCGGCCCAGAAAGGCCCCCCGAACGGCTTCCGACGGCGTCAGACATGCCAGGAGCCCACGAAGATAGCCGAAGTTGGCTCAAAGCTGGCCCAAGACGGCCCAAGACGGCCCCAAAGGCCTCCAAGAGGTCCTCCAGGACGGCCCAAAGAGGCCAAAATCACTGATTTTCCTTAGGTGTTTGAAGGATTTTGACATTTCCTTCGTTTCGGCCTTCCGACGGCCCAATACGGCCCAAGAGCCCCCAAAGATCGCCCCCACAGCGCCCAAAAGGCCTCTAAGAGGGCCTCAGGACTGCCCAAGAGGCCCCCCAGATGGCCCCAAGAGGGCACAAAGACAGCCCAAGAGGCTTTTAAGACGCCCAAGATGGCCTCCAAGACGGCTCTGGAGCAGTCCAAGAGGGCCCCAAGTCGGCTCAGAGAGGCCACCCAAACGGCTTCCGACGGCGTCGGACGGGCCAGGGGCCCACCAAGACGGCCGAAGATGGCACTAAGATGGCCCAAGACGGCCCACCCAAGAGGCCTCCAAGAGGGCCTCCAGGAAGGCCCGAAAAGGCCAAAATCAGTGATTCCCCATGAGTTGTTCAAGGATTGTGGCATTTGCTTTTTTTCAACCTTCCGACAGCCCGAGATGGCCCAAGTGCCCCCAAAGATCACCCAAGAGGCCCAAGACGGCCCCAAGAGGCCCCCAAGACGGCCCAAGAGGCCTCCAAGACGCTCAAGATGGCCTCCAAGACGGCCCAAGAGCCCTCCAAGACGTCCTCCAAGAAGGCCCGAAAGGGTCAAAATGGCCTCCAGACGGCCAAGATGATCTTCAAGATGCCCTCGTGTTGGCCGAAGGCTTTCCAAGCTGATTCGGGGAACACATGGTCCGATAGCTTGGTAGGTCTGGACTCAACGTTCGGCCACATAGGCGCTTCCAAAAAGGCAGGGGGCGGCGGTGATTCGCCGTAGGCGTCTTCGATCCGCCGCCCCCTGTTTCATTCATCGCAGGGGTGCCTGGCATGGTAGATCCTTTTGGTTATGGTTTTGGTTTTTGTTCCAAAAGAACTCTCCCGGGGGCTTCGGCGCGTTCCGCCGGGGTCCCCGGAATGACCTCAATCCGGAAAAAAATCCTCCATGACGGCTCAAGATGGCGCCAAGATAGCCACGTTGGCCCAAGATGGCCTCCAAGATGGTCCAAGACTGCCTCCAAGACGGCCCAAGAGAGTGGCCCAAGACGGCCCAAGAGGCCCCCCACAGGCCTCCAAGACGGCCCAAGAGGCCTCCAAGAGGGGCTCCAGGACGGCCCAAAGAGGCCAAAATCATTGATTTTCCGTTGTTTTTTGAAGGATTTTCGCATTCGCTTCTTCTCGGCTTTCCGACGACCCAAGGCGGCCCAAGAGGCACCCAAGATCGCCCCCACGGCGCCCAAGAGGCCTCCAAGATGGCCTCAGGACTGCACAAGAGGCCCCCAAGACGGCCCCAAGAGGGCACAAAGACGACTCAAGAGCCCTCCAAGACGCCAAAGATGGCGTCTAAGACGGCCCTGGAGCACCAAGTCGGCCCAGAAAGGCCCCCCAAACGGCTTCCGACGGCGTCAGACGGGCCAGGAGCCCACCAAGATGGCCGAAGTTGGCTCGAAGCTGGCCCAAGACGGCCCAAGAGGCCTCCAAGAGGGCCTCCAGGAAGGCCAGAAATGGCCAAAAGCACTGATGTGCCATAGACTTGTTTGAAGGATTTTGACATTTGCTTCGTTCTGGCCTTCCGACGGCCCGATACGGCCCAAGAGCCCCCAACGATCGCCCAAAGATCGGCCAAGAGGCCTCCAAGATGGCCCCAGAACGGCCCAAGAGGCCCCCCAGACGGCCCCAAGAGGCCTCCAAGACGGCCCATGAGGCTTTTAAGACGCCCAAGATGGCCTCCAAGACGGCCCTGGAGCATTCCAAGAGGGCCCCGAGGGCCTCCAGAAAGGCCCGAAAAGGCCAAAATCAGTGATTCCCCATGAGTTGTTCAAGGATTGTGGCATTTGCTTTTTTTCAACCTTCCGACAGCCCGAGATGGCCCAAGTGCCCCCAAAGATCACCCAAGAGGCCCAAGACGGCCCCAAGAGGCCCCCAAGACAGCCCAAGAGGCCTCCAAGACGCTCAAGATGGCCTCCAAGACGGCCCAAGAGCCCTGCAAGACGTCCTCCAAGAAGGCCCGCAAGGGTCAAAATGGCCTCCAGACGGCCAAGATGACCTTCAAGATGCCCTCGTGTTGGCCGAAGGCTTTCTAAGCTGATTCGGGGAACACATGGTCCGATAGCTTGGCAGGTCTGGACTCAACGTTCGGCCACATAGGCGCTTCCAAAAAGGCAGGGGGCGGCGGTGATTCGCCGTAGGCGTCTTCGATCCGCCGCCCCCTGTCGATTCATCGCAGGGGTGCCTGGCATGGTAGATCCTTTTGGTTATGGTTTTGGTTCTTGTTCCAAAAGAACTCTCCCGGGGGCTTCGGCCCGTCCCGCCGGCCACGCGGAAAGATCTTCCAGATTGCCCAGGGGTGGTTGCAAAGGATTTGTCCTGCTCCCGACGGCTCCAACACGCCCAAGATGGCCTCCAAGACGCCTCCAAG